ACAAGATCTCATAGGAGATGGGACGCCGAGCGTCCCGCCTACGACCTTTCTTCCAGCCCTTCATGATCCGCGAGACGCAGAATGACTTGGTCGCATCCTGCCACCCACACCACTGGAACAGAAAAGACAGGGCCGCTAACGCCCTCTCTGCTGCCGCTACCGACTTACCCTCCTCGCAGAGTGACTCCAAGAAGGCCCAGAGTCGCTCCCAACCTACCTTCGTCCGAAGACGCCTCCCTGTCCTTGCAGACATCCGTCCACTGTCGCCAGACCGCAGAATACGACCTCCACGTCGACTCCGCCAGCGACTCCCTCGCCAACCGGCTCAAATGGTGGAAACCAGGTCCCATATACCCTCCGGGCACGAGGTGTCAGACCGCTCCGCCTCTGGAGCCGCCACTCGAAACCTGTCCCACTGAAACCGAGAGAGAGAGTCGGCTATAACGTTCCGCTCCCCAGGCACATGGAGCGCAACCAACCACAAATTATGTGCTAAGCTAAGCAGTACCAGGCGCCGGAGGAGCGTCAACACCGGAGGCGACGCAGACGTAGATCGGTTGATCACATGGACCACACTCATGTTGTCCGTGTGCACCACTACCTTCCGATTCGACAGCTCCACACCCCAGAGCTCAACAGCCACCACAATGGGAAAGAGCTCCAGAAACGTTAAGTTACTCACCAATTCCATCTCTAGCCAGTGTCGGGGCCAGGCCTCCGCGCACCAACGCCCTTGAAAGTAGGCACCAAAACCCACGGACCCAGACGCATCCGTGTACAATTCCAAATCTGTGTTGGACACTGCCGGGCGCAGCCAGCAGGATTGCCCGTTGTACATACCCAGAAATTAACTCCAAACTTGCAGATCCTGTCGATGCCGGTGAGTGATTCGAATGAAGTGAAATGGTTGCCTGACTCCGACCGTTGACAATGACAAGTGACGGTAAAAAGCCCTGCCCATCGGCAATAACCGACAGGCAAAGTTCAGATGCCCTAACAGGGCCTGCAACTGCTGAAGTGGTACTTTTTTGGCCCCTTTAGCCGAATCCACCAGCCGCAGCAGGTGAGTTAGCTTTTCGTCCGGCAAACGGAAAACCATGCTCCACGTGTCCACCTCAATCCCCAAGTAGGACAGGACTCCCACCGGTCCCACCGTCTTCTCTGCCGCTATCGGCACGCCAAAATCTGCAGCGACGGCTTGAAAGGAATCCAAGAGCACCACGCAGTCATCCGACTCCCGCGGGCCCACAAACAGAAAATCGTCTAGGTAATGAGTTAGCGACTCTATCCCTGCAACCCGAGCGACCATCCATTCAAAAAACGACGCAAACATTTCAAAGTAAGAACAAGAGATAGCGCAGCCCATAGGCAAACACATATCAAAGAAAAAGGAACCTTGAAACCGACAACCCAACAGGTGAAAACAGTCCGGGTGGACCGGGAGCAGTCGAAAAGCAGACTCGATGTCTGACTTTGCCAACAGAGCTCCCTTCCCTGCCTCCCGGACCAACTCTAAAGCCCGATCAAACGAGGCGTAACGAACGTGTGATTCTTCCTTGTCAATGTCATCATTCACCGACCCACCTGATGGGTAGGACAAGTGGTGAATGAGACGGAAGGATCAAGGCTCTTTCTTAGGAACTAACCCCAGCGGGGATAACCGCAACTTGGGAAATGGAGGCGTGTCAAACGGACCTGCCATCCTGCCCAAACAAATTTCCTTTCTCAACTTATCCTCTAGTAAAGCCTCTTTACCGACAACCGAACGCAGGTTATCCGCCAGCGAAGGGGAATCCGAATGAACAAACGGAATCCAAAACCCTGTCGAAAACCCCTCCAGCAGAACCCCCGCATCCTTACGCTTGGGATACTGGTCGAGCCAAGGGCGCATCCTTAGCACGCTCACTGGAGTCCTCCCCTCTAGGGAGATCCTCGCTATTGGGTCTCCCGCCATGCTTGCCCTTCTTGAAACAGTGCAGCGCAGGGTGGGCCCCTCCACAATGAGAGCACTCGTGCTTGAACCAGCATGATCCAAACCACTTGCAGTGACTCTCATTGTAGAGCCAGCAGACTCCCCTGCGCTGCCCAGCCGGCGCACTGGACGGCGCGCCGGCTGCTCCTGGAAAGGGGGACGGATGACTGGGGGTCATCAGCAAGAGCCAAAGGCTCCCGTCCTGGACCCCAAAATCCATACCTGAACACACCGCCATCTTCTGGCGAAATTGTTGGTCATACCGAAACCAACATTGTCCCACATAAACCTTGTACGCCCCTCATATGAGGTCTAAATACCCAAACAACGCCGGTGCCTTCTCCGGGAAGGCCCGCATCAGCACATTTGCAAATATGGAGAACCCTTGCAGCCAGTTCCCAAACGTACGCGGCAGATGCTTACCTCTGTAGCCGTCCACCGAATCTCCCCGCCGCGGCCTATCCACCGACTCCCGGTCCGGGGGGACCAGGGACAGTAAATCCACGTATTCACCTTTTACAATCTTCTCCTTAACCTCCAGAGCCACGTGCATCTCTAGTGGGGACAGCTCGCAACCTGGCAAGCACTGAGCCCTACCTGACCGGGTATTCAACTGACCCCTATCCTGTGCATGGGCCTGCGCAGGGAGAGAAACTGGGACAGACAACAAAGGGCTCCCTCCTGGGAGCCTATCTAACACAGCCTTAAGCAACCCCAGTACTTCCCCATTGAACCCACTATCTACCCTATCCCCAGCTAGCGCATGCCAAGCGCTAGCGCAACACTTACCGCTGGCTGGCTGAGGATGCTGGGCATCACCATCATCCGAACCGGAACTGGACCCCGATCCCAGGGGTGATCCACGGCCGGCCTCCTGCTGCCAATCCTGTGGCCTCTTCCGGTTGCCCTCCTGGGCGCTTCTCGCATGGTTTCTGGCTCACTTCCTGCCGGAACCACGCTGGAACGCAAGGCCTGTGACGTCTGCGCTCTCCTGCGCGGTGACGTCACGTACGCGCCTTGCGTGATGACGTTCCTTCCGGCCGCGTCCGCGTCACGCACCGAGCGTGCTGACACGACTTCCGTGCAGGCCGGAAGAGAAGAGCGCGGAGAGCGCGATCTTCCCGCCCTTTCTCCAACCTGGCTTCCGCCGCCATCTTGGTCCTGGACAACGCCACCGGCCTCACAGGAATGGATCCTCCTCCTCCCGGGTACCGGACTCCGGATCTGTTGCGCGGCCGAGCCGCCACTTCTACCCCTCCTTTGGCACCGAACCGGACTTGGAGAAAGACGCGACGGAGGCCTCGATCTCCTGGCCCTCCGTCCGTCTCGGGATGCAGACTGACCGGCCCTTACGTCCTGGGGGACACTCCTCACGCCCGACACCAGCTCCTCCAGGGCCCCTTGTCCATGGGTCTCTAGGTAAGATTGCAGAAGTCTCTGCAAAGCAGCTCCAATGTCAGCCATAACCGCTGCAATCTGACCGTCAGTATCTGTAGAAATGCGCTGTTTAGGTGATAATCAAACTTCTTCTTTTTTTTTTTAAATGTTCGTCTTGAATTGCACGGCCAGTCAGGTAAGAAAAAAAAAACAGCCAGGAGCCCTCACTTAACCTGCTGACTGGTAAGTTCCCTCCCTCTCCCTTTCCCTAAGAACCACAAATGTATCCATTTTAACCCAGCCCCCAATCTTGGACAGCAGTCATGCTCCCCCTTCCTTATTCTTCCAGGGGGAAACTTTAACATACCATGGGAATTATTATACAGTTTACACCACACAGCATTTAAAGATCACAGACAAAAAAATGATTCCTCTTTCTTTTGTGAAATTATTTCCACTTTCCAGTAAACACGCAGAGTACAGCTATCCCTAAAATAGCTTTGTGGCATAAATTTGCCTTCTTTACTTAGAAAATGGAGGATGCTGAAACTGAAGATAAGTATTCTAAATTACATCAGCTCCATCACTTAGTATTAGGTGTAAAATAAACTCTGTCACCCTTCTCTTCTAATTTGAACACAGACAAAGCAGAACCCTATTAAGTCATGGGGATTTTTGCTACCATATATAGAAAACTGACTTTTGGTACAAAAAAGTTACATCCTTCTGGGTACTACAGGGTGCCTACTTTTTAGATCTATAGAGATCTAGAGATTAGGAGACAGGAATGACTCACTCTGAAAGAAGAGAGACCTCAAGCAACAGTATCCTCATTCTAGACTGTGGGAAGATGATGTGAAGGGGAATTTCTACAGAAATCTGAAAAGCGAACCATTTTGTAATGCAACACAGCAAAGCATTTTAAATATCATATACAAACATGTGTAACGTGTGATGACACTGTATTTTCAATTTTGTTTAATACCAGAGTGACCGCCTTCTTAAAGTACTTACTGGTAAAGCTGTGTTTTGAACTCTTAGTGACGACAAGTTTCGTCAATCAAACAAAAAGTTACTACAGAAGCCAGAACTGCGGCTACTTTCATGGTTATTTACTAAAGGGAGAGCTGTCAGAAATAAAGTGAATTTCAAATGTAAGGCCAAAAAAGCTGAGTTAGAAAAACGTCTGTTTGCAGGACCTATGTTCAGTGTCTCCATGCTCTGCATACATAGGCTGAACGTTCCCTATAGGGATACATTGATTAAGTTTACTCAGGCAATTATCTCTAAGGCACTGAGGATCTTGTGGTTGAATCCCCTGTATTTTCTGCTTGTGAAACCCCTTGCATGGGACTGGGCATAAAAGCCGTTTTTGTGTCAATAAAATTCCGTTATTCCCCCAGAGCTGTGTGCCGTCCAGTTGCTGGAGAGAAGGTGGGAGATTCTTGGATTATTTTACTGTGCCTGACTGCTCCATTGGATTGTTTTACTTGTTCCTGAATGTACTTTGGTGTAACCAGCGGAGGAGAGTCCCTGCTAGGACTAGGACTCCGCTACAGCCACCACATTACTTCTTTTTATAACTGTAGAGTTCTGTAATGCACTCAAACATTCTGCAAATTACTCTGAGTTTTGTTTTTGTGGAGCGCTGTGATACACTCATTTACTCTGCACATTATTCTAAATGTATTGCTGAGGAGCAACAAGGAGCATGGTAATGTGCTGTGTATAAATTCATATACACAGCACATTACTGTGAGTTTTTTTGCTGTGGAACTCTGTGATACACTCAATAGATTAAATAAAATAAAAAAATTACATTAAAAAAAATTAACCCCTACCCTCCCTCTCCCCTTCCCCATGTAATTACTGATCGTTGCGTTCCCCCGCCGGCGATCGGTCTTCTTCTTTGGGAGGGCTCTCTGGACTGAGCCCAGAGAGTCCCCCCCTCCAATTTAGGACTAAAAGAGTGGTCACATGGCCCCCATAGGTGTCCATTGTGCTGCCAGCAGGGGGACTGCCTGAACTGACAGGCAGTCCCCCTGCTGGTGAAAAAGTAAAAAAAAAAAAGTTAAATAAAAGTTAAAAAAATGTAAATAATGTAAATATATTTAAAAAATTTTTTTTTATATATATATATATATATATATATATATATATGTATATATGAGATCTATTTATACATATATTATATCTATATATAATATGTATATATATATATATATATATATTATATATAGCGTCATACTTAGAGTATTTTTTAAAATTAATATACATATACAAAATTACACGTGTGTGTGTGTATATATATATATATATATATATATAATGTGTAATAACTAATCCCCATAAGCAGTCCCCCTACAGCAGCTCTGGCCATCCCGGCCATGTGATCACCATGATCACATCACCGCAATAGGTGCTGCCATCAGGCTGCTAAAAAAAAAAATATATATTATACATATACAGGTGGTCCTCATTTAGCGACCTGCCTGTTTTTCCACGGTTCGCACTTACGACCAGGCGTGAGTGCGAGCCATCATGAGGATTCCCTGCTCTGGTGCGCATGCCTATGTTCGGGAAAACTTCCCCGAACATAGACGAACGCACAAGAGCAGGGAATCCCTCAAATCTATGTTTGGGGAAATTTCGAAAAAGTGTTTTTTTTTTTCCAATATTTTCATCATATTTTATAAAAAAAATTATAGTAAATTATATAATATGATGAAAATAATGGTATCTTTAGAAAGACCATTTAAAAACGCTATATAATATGTGTGGGTACAGTAAATGAATAAGAGGAAATTACAGCTAAACACAAACACCGCAGAAATTTAAAAAGAGCCCTGGTCCTTAACGGTAAGAACATTGAAAAACGGTCTGGTCGCTAAGGAGTTAAAGGAACACTTCAGTGTTAGTCTTTAGTAGGAAAACATAAAGAGTGCAAACTTTGGTGTTAATATAGTGCTGTATAGCTTATTCAATAAAAAGTGTGTATATAAACAAATTAAATACTCCTCTTCCCCTGATGTAGCGTACTCACAGAATGTGCTTCTCTAAAAATGAAATAATAAAATAGAGGTGTTTGATAAAAATCGTCTGATCCGTGTGGCTGTAAAGTGCTCAGTGAAGGAATCCTGCCAGCTGTGCGCCTCACCGTAACTGGAGCCTTTAGTATGGAGCCTCGCAGGGGACAGACAGGAGCAAGTCAGTTATTGTGCTGCTCCTACACATTTCATGAGTCTGCACTCACTTCCTGGATATGGTGATCTAGTACTTAGAGGTGGTGAATGAAAGTTATTATTTGTGAGGTCTTAGAAATCCTAGATCAGGCATAGGCAACCTTTGACACTGCAGATGTTTTGGACTACACCCCCCATGATGCTTTGCCAGCATTATGTGTGTAAGAGCATTATGGGGGATGTATTCCACAACATCTGGAGTGCCGAAGTTTGCCTATTCCCTGTCCTAGATCCAAAGCAATCAACATTCTTCCCTACCATTGGTTGGAGAAAATCTGGTGCTTAAAGAGCTAAACGGTGAAGAAAGTAAAGAATAAAACATCACAGAATCTAAAAATCAGAGTTTAAAACACAATATTTAGTCCACACAGAGTTCAATCAGTATCCAGGAATCACTTTCAAATAACCAGTAAATCAGGATCAGTATAATTTATTGTGATCCTGATTTACTGCTTATTTGAATCAGAATAATTTATACTGATCCTGATTTACTGCTTATTTGAATTTGATTCTTGGATACTGACTGAACTCTGTGTGGACAAAATTGTGCTTTACATTTTGCAATATAAAAGCAGCCTCTCTCCATAACTACTATTTTCTACATTACAGGACTAAGGGGAGCAGGAACACTACATCCAGACCACTTCAATTAGATAAAGTGGTTTGGGTGACTAAAGTGTTCCTTTAGAAAGGATCAGGTAGAAGTGCATCATCATCATATTATTATTATTATTATTATTATTATTATTATAGTTATACCACATCCTACATCTCTGGGGATGGGAAATGAATAGGTGAGTAGTTGTTGACTGCTAAGCCGGCAAGTGGATATGTTTCCACCTATGGGATATTGATTGGGGGTTAAAGGGACACTAAAGGCACCCATACCACTTCAGCTCATTGAAGTGATCTGGGTGCACTGCCCCTGTCAGTTTAACACCGGACGCTCATATCCATTTGGATGGCTAATGTAAAATCTGGATATCTGTGAATAGTATGAGCTGTCCAGTTGTTCACATCAAAATTTTTAAATATAACACCAGAGTACATTTGATAAGCCAGTCCTGTGTCATTTGGACTTTGGTAAATAATTCCATAGGGGAATGAATACCTTTTACATTAGGGTACTTATATATGAATATATATTCAGTGTTAGCATGGAATTCTACAGACTTGCCGATTAGAGTTTTAACTTACATAAAGCATGCACTGATACTATCCCTGCAACAGCAACATGTATTTAAACATGCTACTACATGATACAGTCCGAGTTCAGCCAACAGAGCAGAAGGGTGCAGCCCTCATGTTCTGAGTATAATCAGGAAGTGTAGAGTATCAGTATTACATATTTCTGTGTAATTGGAGAAACAGTTGTGGGTAGTCATGACATTTGGGACAACCAGTGTCACAGTTCACCAAGACATTGGAAACTATTTTTACTTAGAATTAGTACACCAACATTCTGGAATTATTATCCTTCAGAAACTGGAAATCAGGGACATATTTAAAATATCTAAGGGGAGGCCATAAATATGTATATATTTTTTTTTTTATTTCAAACATATATGTTTGCTTTATTTAGATTTTATTGACATTGTAAGGGAGATTCCCGTGGGTGGTGTTCACAGAAAAAGGGTAAGAGATCTGTACCTTGAGTGTTCATGACATGACATTATTTTATTTCAATATAATTAACGTATTTTGCAATCAATATTATAATTCACACACATAGAAAAATGTTGCAAGTGAAACAATTAAAGGGACGCTCCGGGCCCCTAAAGCACTTTCATAAATTAACCTTGTTACACCCCCTGGCTGTCAATCAGACAACAGGTTCTGTTACTTCCTGGTTTGGTTAGCTCAGTAAAGCTAAACGTAAGAGGCAGGCAAATGACTAGAGCACCTGCCTTGCAAAGACTTCTCATTGGGCTGCATTGGGAAGTCTGTGATTGGACAGCAACAGAAAGACTGGGTAGGGTTAGAAGGGGAGGGCAGGCAGAGGCTTCATAAAAAAGAACTACAGCTTTTACAAGCTGTTTTTAAAAACACATTTAATGAAAAAATGCAAAATGAAATGCACGCATTTTTCCATTGGGGATATTTCTACTAAATAGTGATACATATCCTTAAAACCACTTGCCTAATTTCATGTAGGTCGCCCTTGTGCTTCCAAAACAGCTGTGGATTCCATAAGACCTCTGAACGTGTTTGGCACCAAGACATTAGCAGCAGATCCCTTAAGCGTCACAAGTTGCGAGGTGTGGCCTCCATGGATCGGATTTGTTGTTCCAGCACATCCCACAGATGGTCAATCAGATTGAGATCTGGGACATTTGGAGGCCAAAGAAACAAACTGAACTCTCTTTTATGTTCCTCAAACCATTCCTGAATAATTTTTGCAGTGTGCATTATACTACTAACAAAGGCCAAAGCCATCAAGAAACAC